TAATCTTCTAGGTAGTTAAAGGAGTGGCAGAAGTTTCTCTGAGCCTGCAGGGTTTCAACTGCCTTGAGCTCAAAATAATCCACATGCCAAAGCAGCACATCTTGGAAGGCCTGTTCTGACGCCTTCAGCCTCATCAAGTCGTCTCACATATTGGTAACATTCTCAGTTCTCATTTGATGCAAAGACTTTCTTGCTAAACAAAAGCTCTTCCCTCCACTCTTTGGAAGCAGACCGTTAAATAACACAAGAACATCTAAGACCAGTTTTGTAAGAATTTTGGGGGATGTTTTGGGAAACTTAGAAAGAAAAACTTCACAGAAATTTCAAGTTAACAAAAGACTTCAAATTTCAGAAATGCTCTTGGGGGGGGCGGTGGTTGGGGGAAATGTCTCAAATCTCTATGGAACAAAAACAATAACAAAAGGCCAATATGTGGTGAAGTGGCAGATGAAATGAAAGCCGATTTAAAGGCCTCTGATTGCGTCCTGCAGGAAGACCACCCAAAAATACAGCAAGTACAGCTTCAAGTCCGGGTTCATGTGCAGCTTTCTCTATTGCAAAACAGAGTTAGCACAACTGCACTGCCATTTCCCCATGCTCTCTCCTTACAGAGTGGGGCTGCTCCAGAGCTAAAGCCAAGCTTTCTAGTAATTCCCCTTCACTAAACTGAGTTGGGTGCTAAGTAGTGGGAAGCAAATCCTATAGTACTGGCAATAATATTTAAGTTAAGTGAAAAATCATCTTGCAAAGTTACATACAAATGATAATTAAAGCATTATAAAGCATTGGATTATAATGCTTTAATTATCTACAGAAACCCAGGTTCCTTACAATAGAAAGAATAACAAAGACTTCGATGCATTTCCTTTCTTTGTCCTGGAAATGTAGACTATGTGAAAACTGTCGTCACTGAGGTGAACATATCAAATACAAGGAGACATTGGATCCCCAAATCTCAACTTGGTAGAAAGTGATTTTTTAAAATATCAGATTGGTCATGAGCAAATAACATGGAATTTTCATTTATAGTGTATTTTATGTTTGTTTATTCAACAACGTGCCAGGCAGAAGAAAATAAGCCAACAAAGAAAGACATGGCCCCTGCCTCATTGGTTTCAGAGTATAGTGTTTTAATCCAAGTTAAAACTATACCTTGATTTAAAAATGGGATCAATCAGCCAGACAAAAGAATGAAATCTTACCATTTGCGAGAGTATTATGCTAAGTGAATAAGTCAGACAAAGACACATACCATATGAATTCACTTATATGTGGCACCTAAAGAACAAAATAAACAAACCAAATAGAAATAGACTCATAGTTGCAGAGAACAGACTGACATTTGCCAAAGGGGAGGGAATTGGGTGAAAAAAAGTGAAGGGATAAAGAAGTACAAATTGATAGTTACAAAATAGTCATGAGGATGCAAAACACAGCATAGGGAATATCGTCAATAACATTGTAATTACTGTGTATGGTGCCAGGTGGGTACTGGAAATACCTAGAGGAATATTTTGTATGCATATGATTGTCTAGCAACTATGTTCTTACAAAGTAATATTGAATGTAAACTGTAATTGAAAAATAACATTTAAATTAAAAAATGGAATCAACTATGCACTTAGTTCATATAATAAGACCTCTTAATAACTGCTGTGTGACCACTCTACCAACTAGTCTTGGGATCTTGGTTCAGTCACTGAGTTTAGGAGCCTCACGTTCCTTAGGTGGTAAGTAAATGGATTTAGTTACATGATTTTTTTTTTTTTTTTTGCGTTCACACTCTAAATTTTTATTGTGTTTTTTCATGCATCACCTCCATCTTGGTCTGTTTGGGCTGCTATAACAAACTAACAAAAACTGGGTGGCTTGTAGACAAGAGGAATTTCTTTCTTAGAGTTCTGGAGGCTGGAAGTCTGAGATTAGTTACCAGCAAGGTTGGTGAAGACCCTCCTCTGGGTTGCAGACTTCTTGTTGAATCCTCACCTGGACGAAGGGGTAAGAGTTCTTTGGGGATTCTTCTACAAGGGTATTTATCTCATTAATGAGGGCTTCACCTTCATAACCTAATCACTCCCCTACTTCCCCATCACCTGTAGGCATTAGTTTTTTTTGGGGGGGGGGCATAAACATTCAGATTGTAGCAACCTCTCCAATCTTCAGGATCATCTGCAATGAGAGAGGCAGAGCATGCAGAAAAGGGAATAGCTAGAGAAATGCCAAGGAAGGTGAAAAACCTCATCGTCAGACTTGGGCTTAGGGTCTGAGTGCTCACTTGACAGGAGACATACAAGCATAGGACAACATGGGGGCAGGGTTGCTGGTTGCTAGCACAATGACCTGAACAAGTTATTTCATGCCTCTCAGCCCTGGTTTTCTTAACTAAAGCTGGAACAGAACCTGACACATCCATAGGTAATTTAGCAGAAAATAAAATCTTTATAGCTAAATTTTATTCTGTAATAAAAAGAATTAGGCAATACACAATCATCTATATATGGCAATTTTCTCAAGACTATCAAATTCTCCATATGTCGGTTTGCACCTTGTTTGGGACCCAAGGTTTCTTTATAACTAATCCCTGAATGTACCACATCCACGTCTCTCAGCAGATTGGGGCTGCGCTTACCTCTGGACTAGAGCTGGAGAATCGGGGTCTTCTAATTATGGCTATTTTTACCAAGCAACTTGAGAAGTAGGGAATTGGTCCTGCTTTGGATATTTCCTAATACTTTTCTATAGTTCATCTACAAAACAAAACAAAAACCATGTCATCTTTTCTTTTTTAAAAATATGTTTTTGATTTTTTTTAACATATACCAGAGGCCCGGTGCATGAAATTCGTGCACTTAGTGGGGGTGGGGGGATGTGGGGGTGGGGGTGCTCACCCCTTGATCTCATATTTCTAGCTTCCAGAGCTGTGAGAAAATACGTAGCTGTTGTTTCAGCCACCCAGTCTGCGGTAATTAAGGCAACCCTAGCAAACATT